TCACTTTGATCGTCCGAGTTCGTCCAAAGTCTAAACTCCAGGACAAACTCAGCTTCAAATCCGGTCCAAACCGCTTCCAATCTCCCTTTAGAGGCCCCGCAGGCCTTCGAGCTCTCGTCGCTGTTCGTCTCCTGACCAGGATCGCGAGAATTCCCATTCCGTTGAGATTCCAAGGTGAGAATCTACTCGAAAACGCTCTCAGCGGCCTCCCGGATCTTGATGATGAGGAAGGACCGTCTGCAGAACTTGACGAGCAGCTCGATCCTCTGTCAGGACGGCTTCCTGAGCTGAGGCAGCGCGATCAGATAGATGTTGCCGAAGATGGCGCCCACCACCAGCAGCATCACGCTGACGGCCGACAAGAGACGGACGAACCTGACGAATCTTCGTCCCCTGGCGTCCTTCTTGCTCTGATTGGGGAACACGGCCAGGCCGAGGAGAGGCCCGGCGAGGGCGCCAGCCACATGAGCGGCCCAGCCGACCCTTCCGCAACCCAGAAGAGCTGGGATCGGGAGAGACGCGACGTCTGCGCTGGCCAAAAGCAACACGGCGGCCAGACGCCAGCTGGCGTAACGAAGTTCACCGTGGCACTGGAACAGACCAAGGATCACCTTGTTTGTGGCTGTTCGTGGCTCTGTTTACGTCCAACTGGACCAGAAATACGAATTTATGAATGTTTTGGGGAAGAAAGAGGAGGACTGATTGGTTTTGTTTGGTAGAGACGAATGGAAATCGATGTCGAGTGGAGTAACTTATCCTGCAAGTCTAAATGTTGCTATTCAGGTACTGTTGGGACCTTGGAAGAACGGTTTTCAGAGGACTATAAACAGAAAAAGTTATTTTTATTCTTTAGCTGTACGAACTTTAGTAACTATTGCTTCAGCAAATATAAAACTTTAAAATATCATTAAGACGTCTAAAACAATTTTCCTCGGTCTCTGGCATTATTTAAATCTCGTATGGCCACCAAGATCAGTTTCTTCAAATTCCAAGTATAAAAATCCGGGTCTATTTCCTACAGTTACCAACGGTACCGAAACCTCATCACGAAAGAATCTCTGAAAGAACTGTACTCGAATCGAATACGAGTAAACAGTCCATTTTAGAATGCTACACCGACTAAAAGCAATAATCGCTGGTCAATATACGCAATTCCCCTTAAACAGATTCCCCTTACCAATCGTCATTCGCGGACAAAGTTTGCCCCAGAAAAGGCGTCGATTCACGAACAACAAGAAACGATCGATCCCCGAAAAAGCACAAAAAATAGCGTAACTTCGATAAAACTGCACTGAGCGTAACTTCGGAATGGACAAACATCTGAAAAACAATCGCGACGAAGCCGAACCAGGATTCAAGAGCTTGGCGATCCCCCGGTTAATCCCCTGAAACTCCGCAGTTTTTCAAACCCCCACCCTCCGCACCCTTTCCAGCCCTAAGAAGACTCCAGTTTCCCTCTGCGAGCGTTTCGACCAATATCGATCCGAAGATTTTATTATTCCCCGTTTAACGAGATTTAACGGTAAGGAAGGGTACAGGGACGAGCTTGGGGGGGGGGGGGGGTCGGAGGAAGCCGAAGAAAGGAAACTTCGGGGTGTTTCGTCGAGTTTTTTTTTCTGGGCCAATGGTCGCGAAAAATACGAACCGATGGACAAACCGTTTCTTCGGACTTACCAAGTAAAGGTGCGCTAGATGGCTGGTAAGCAACGCGTAAACACCTGCCGAGGCGCCCATCAGAAAGAGACTAGGCTGTAGGAGGGATGCTCCGAGGGCTCCGCAGACGCCACCCCACAGGTAGATCGCAGCCACCCCCATTCGACCCTGCTCCACCTGGTGGTACGAAGTTTTTTCTGTGTTTGGTGTTTGTTTTTTTCATGGGACACGGGAATTTTCGGCTGAATAAACGAGGAGGGCAGAGAATTGGGGCCCGGGATATGTTGGCTTCTTCCGGATAGGGTTGTTCTGATTAATCCTTTGGAATACACAGTCAGTCGTATAAATATTTGTACCCTCTATGGCAATCGAACAAAATTTGTTTAAATGAAACGGAAGGTTTGATGTTTACATATATAAGCATATTCGCATATATATTTATAATGAAAAATTCATTTGGCGATATCGAAACTATTATTTAATTTAGTCAAACTTCTTCGATAGATAAGGAGGATACAAATATTTGTGGTACGAGTATTTATATGTATAATCGAGTGAATATGTAATAAATATGGTATGAATATTTAAATAATTCAATCAATTGCAAATTTTATAATTCATTGAATTTTTTTAATTAATCAATCGTAAACATCCTTACGTCTTTCTTGATTAAATCACAAAACCGCTACAGATCGTCGAAGACATTCTTTATTGGCTCCAACCGAAACACGCCTTCCAAAATATTGAAGCGAGATCGCCATAAACTAAAAAGCTGATGCCCGAGGAACGAGCATCTCGACACGCGTGTTAATTATACGAAGTGGGTTAGTCGAGTCGCCACGAAATTGCCCCAACGATTAGAATTGCTTCGTTGGCGGCGTCTAGCATCTCTCCCTCCGAGCGGTTTCCACTCGATTCAACTCTTTCGGGGCAACGAAATCGATCAAATCGACGCGACGGCCACGGAAAAAGTACGCTTTGGGGGCTCGCGAGTGGAAAGGAAAAAAAGGGCGGCTCGCAACAGCCCCGGCAATTAGTCTGATTAACTCACCTCGAGCGGAGTGGCCAGCACCAGCTGGATGACCACGTTGAGTGCAAGGTGAAGCGCGTTCGAGTGCAGGAGCATGTACGAGGCGAACCTCCATCCCTGGACCCTCTGACGGGGGTCGTAGACCAACCACCTGCGCAAGGTCACCTCATCCCCCAGGCAGTGGACGGCTATCTATCGTCATCGAGATCAAGTTTCAATCCTCCGATGGACATTGCTAAATAACTACGGCGTGCCACCAAATTAGGTGAGGTTAAACAAGATACGTGGAGTATCTTAGAATTATTACGCGAAGAATTATTACGAACGAAAAATCTAGAGTATCTTAGAATTATTACGCGAAGAATTATTACGAACGAAAAATCGCAGAGAGATGACAGAAAAATGTGGAGAGTTTTAACGAACATAAATTAACCCTTTGCACTCGAGAGGTGACTCTCAGTCACCACTAGGTTTTTTTTACGTTTAATTTCTTTGGAACTCGAAGTGCCAATAAAATGATTGTCGTTGAGACAAAGGTGACCTGATTCGCAAATCTCAAATTAGAGAGCTCATTTTCGAAGTCAATATAACTTTAGCATTCGTGGCGATAGAATGCTAAGAAAGCATCTCGAGTTGCTGGTAGATACCAGAAAAAAAGGCCTCGAGTGCAAAGGGTTAACTGGACGTATGGAGAAAACTAAATAAAATTACTCGGAGGAAAAGATATAGAACAGGTATGATAGAAGGTATGTCGTATCGAATCATCGCGTATTTTTTACGATTGAACATCATTTACAAATAGTACGGGTGCATATCTGAAAAATGTCACACTGACGTAACGCTCGATGCTTGCGATCGATTTTTGGAACAGTGGACAGTACGGGTGCATGTCTAAAAAATATCACACTGACGTAACGCTTGATAATAAAGATGTCGGAATAAAATAAATCTTTTTTTTTTTTATTTTAATTAGCACGGAAGCCTGGTGCAAGTTGCTTTTTTTTCTTGACAATTTGTGCTTTCTTTCCCAAAGAGCCAGTGTTCGATAATTCCTCGGTCACTGTGCATTATTCTCGCTATTTTGCTATTATTATTATTGTTATCATTGCATGGAACGATTTCGGTCCATTATGAATTCTCGCTCGCTCAGTGGACAAAGTTAATTCGATATTATTAAATTAGAGAGGAAATCACGGAACGTACTCAATTATTTACAGACTTCCAGGGAAACGATAATCCACGGAACAGAGGATTACGGTTGCGCACTTTTTCGTTAGAATTGCGCGAAATTATCGCCGGGAATCGATTAAATTTATACACAGAGACCCGATACGGTCCGTGGCCACGGTCAAAGGATGTAAAATCCGAGCTGCCCGTTATCGGCGAACGATCTAGAGAATAATTTAACGGAAATTCTGTCCACAGAACGGTAATTAATCAAGACTGTATTATTTGAACGGTGAATAAACCGCCGTCATTATCAGCCCTTCTACAATAGAACGAACGCACGCGGACTCGTGACGACGATAAGTGACGGCACGCTATGGCAGAGGAAAGACTGATTACTGTCGGGACGTGTGTTTTAATTTGTTATTAATTTTAGTCGGTTCATTTTTCTATAATCGAGAAATAAACGAAAGCTTCGGTAACGGAGCCCTATAAAGGGGTGCGAGTTGGTCCAAAGTGGAGGCATCTTTTGGAATTAATTCCAAGGAAACGGACATACGTATGGATAATTAAAAAATTATTTTCTTAAGCTTCAAGATACACATAAACATCGTGTAAAATTAGAAGTCCGAACAGGCATCCGTTTCTTCAGAATTAATTCCCGTAGATCCGATGCAAACCGCGAATAAGACTTTGTTCGATTTTAATTTCGAACGAACGCTAATTTAAACGGTTATTGTTCGAGGGTGGTTTTCATTCTCGGAGCTTTTAGCTTTCGAAGACCCGTGTTTACTCCGCCAGTTTGTCCAGAAGTTACGACGGAAAAAGGACCACGACAACGGCGGCCACAAATTGTGCGAATTCCTGTATCCTTTCGCGCCATCTTTTTCTGATATCCTCTTTTTACGTGTTCGCGCCGCGACAGCCCTCCCTCCCTCCCTCTCTCTGTAAATCATCTGCTAGCGGTGGATACGCGGCACTTTTGGGGCTGCGGGGGCGGCGCCCCCGGGCCATCCATTTTTACGTCACGGCTTTTACGAGCATCGCGAGGTTTCAGTCTCGCTAGCGCTTAATGTGCTGTTATGTTTGCCGTCTTGGAAAACGGTCGGAACCCTCGGAAATTCGGGCCACGGTTGGCTCGAAAAGGATTTACATATTCCACTCTCGACACACCCCCCTTCGTCTTTTCTTTCTCGCCTTCCTATACTTCGAACCGAAGGAGCGCTTTGGCAGGATCCCTTGGAGTCGATTCTTTTCATTTCTTTGGTGGGATTTTATTGGATATCGTAGAACTCTATAATCTAATTATACTACGACCATTGCTAGATGTACTAGGCAACTTCTCGTATCTACACGGTACTAGTGTTACCCCAAACATTTCTCGAGACACTTCAAATTGTTACTGACGATTTTAAAAAATACTCTGGCCACCCTTTAACCATCCCTGAGATTCGCAAATCAAAATTTTCGAATCTCCTGAATTCCCATGCCACGAGTATCCCCCAATCCGTGGCATAAAGACCCTTGGAAAAAAAATTATAACACTTCGACAAATATTCCAACTCGAAGATATTTTTGCAACTTCCACGAAGCATCGCCAGCACACAGTAAAACACACACAGTAAAAGTTTCTTGTTTCAAGAAAGTTCCGGAAGTACACCTGGCTTTTTAAACGGGGCAGGGATGAACGACACATAAAGATGGACGACGCCCTGCGATCATTATAAAGGCAGGGAGCGAGGGGGTTGGATCGAGGTTTCACGTGACCGCGGTATCGTCCCGGCGTATCTCGACGTTTCATTAGCCCGGGGAACGTTCATTGTCGTTTTACTATCCCCCCGTTACATTTTCCCGCAATTTTAAGTTCAGTCGTTCTAGATTGGACGCATTCTTCGGTGCCGCGACCCGGCCATAACGACTCCCGGAACTTCAAAGCAATTATTATCACCGGAAGAGCTGACCTAGGCGGCGGGGGGTCGTGGCACGATCCCGAAACGCGTCGACTTTCTTCTTACGTACGTGTACGTCTATTCCCTCGGCGACAGCAAGGGAAGATCGTCAAAAAATTGGGGGTGGGAAAAGTAAAAAGAGAAAGAGGAAGTCAGTCCCATAAATATTCGTACTCTCTACGTTTATCGAAGAAACTCGTTCAAATTAAATGTTAGGTTAGATGTTTCCAAGTGTATGTTTGTACAAATATGTTTACATAAATGTATACATGTATTATTCGTACACATATTTATAATGAAAAATTCATTCGGTAATATTAAAACTGTTATTGAATTTAGTCAAACATTCTTCGATAGACGTAGTTTACGGTAGTTTATTCAAGCATCATATTTTACCGGTTTATTCGGTAATATACTGGTATTTTGCAGTATTTCACCGTGTTGCGATATGTAGTATTTCGTTGTATCTCGATGCATTATGCTATTATTCCATGTATCATTCTCTATGATACTTGAATATTCCGTATTTTGCAAGCTCTACATTTTATACCGTAATATACTCCGAAGTTTATACCATATACTCATGGGACTAACTGTATACGCATTTACTAAATAATAAATACCCCAAATAATAATCTTTCATAATAGATCCATACCTGAGAAGCCTCGAATCGACCTCCCCTATTTTTCTATTTCAAGAAACGCTCCCACCAAGGAGAATAAAATGTGACACAGACATCAACCCCCTGACTACCCTAAATGTAGCCCACGCTGTACTTACGCCAAGCCGAAAATTTGCCTGTAGCGCCTAACCTAACCTCGCTCTCGTGCTAAATAACAAATTTATCGATGCACCACCGACGACCGTTTCCGCGAAAGTTGCATCGGAATGCTCGCGATACTAATGCGGCAATCAGTGCCGATTCTCGACGGCGCCAGTTCCTAGGAAACTTTTCCCCGTGATTTATTAGCGAATCCTCTAACGAGCCATATTTACGGTGGCGCTTTTACGGTTGATTTATCGCGTTCGTTATCCTATCTCCGGCGATATTACTCGGAGAAGAACCCGACCGATTATTACGTCGCAGCGGGCGAAGTCGAGCATTCGGTGAGAGGCCAGGTAAAACCGGATATCGTCGTTTCCGCTATCTCGGCGTTTCATTAAACATCCTGGAAACGCGTTATCGTATTCGTTCCATCGCGCGAAACTGGACGGGAGTACAGATGGCGATTAGCCTCTTCCGACGAAACTGGAAACGCTCGAGCTTTTATTTTTCCCAGCCGCCACGACCGGTAATTACTGCGAGGATATACTCTTCGCGTCGATCGCGGATGGTTTTACTTTTTAAAGATAGACCGGTGTATCCCAAGTGTTGTCGAACAAAAGTTTGTCTACGTTGTGGAAATCATTTTTATACTTGAAACGAAACCTTCGGTCTCCCCAAATATAAAAGAAAAAAAGTCTATCGTTCATAGTTGTCCGAGAGAGAAATTAATTTTCAAAAACAGATTTCGTAGAAAGATCAGCGAGATCGCCGACATTCCAGAGGAGCTTCGAGCGAAACGCCCAGAAGATCGAACGTTTCCCCGGACGGGAAACTCGCAGGAACGAAAAATCGTAGAAATTACCCGAAGACACGGGGTTCGAGCACGAGCTGGCCAAGCTTGAAAGATTTCCCATTAGCCGAGCTAATGCGTCGCGGAGGCGGCGGGACAAGGACGGAGGGGGGCCCGATGGGAATCTCTTCTCAATTATACGCACGAGTTCACGAACGAACATCGTACCGGTATTTCAAGAAACTCGTGGTCGAGAAGAACTCGCGGCGTAGGGGGCACGAAAAAAAAAAAAAAGAACGAGAGGAAACGAGAGAAAGTGGCCCCTCATTGCCTCTCCCAAAAACGCGTGGATCCACCCCTGAGCTCGATAATAATTGAGTCGTGGGTTCCGAACAGTTCGAGTCTTTCTTTTATCTTAGGGACGTAAAAGTTTTATTTCGAGAGTCATAGAAGATTTCGATAGTAATATTATTTACGGTGATTATTTTCACGGTGTTATTTACGTTGGAGTATGCTTGAAATTATAGCGACCGAGGATTATATTATTTTATACTATCGCGTACTGTGTACATTTTATAATTTCTTGCGCATTCAAACTTCTTATGAGTTAATAAAAACAAAAAAAAAAAAAAAACGCCATTTAGTAGCAACTAGAAAGATTATATTAGGGGGAGCGAAGCATCGACGTTTACTTATTAAAGAATTCTTAAATACTAATCAACAAAATAATTTCCACAATTCTCTAACACTTTTTGCCGGCGTAAAGGCAGTTGATCTCCTTCTTAAAAAAAAGTCCTTCGATTTTTCATTGCAAAACTTACATTGCAAAACCAAGGCGAAGACATTTCGATTACTTTTCGGTCCCTCTAATATAACGAAGATTTATACATACGTTATCTTACGAAAAAACTAAAATTATTTGGTAAAACATGGAAGTATAATAATTAGTACGTGACGTGAAAGTTACCCCCAATAAAGGGTTAAGAAATCCTCCGGCGACGATGAGGATTTTCCATAAGAAACATCGAATGTTTCGAGCGTCGCTCACAAGAATCTTAATCTTTGTTTGTTTGTTTGTTTGTTAAAAGAGGACTACTGTCTGAGCTTGTTCTAGCTTTCTCCGAAGCTCATCTGCGCGCAGCCAAGTTAAAACCGTCGAGTTAAATGTACCCTTCTTCGCCGCAGTTTCGCGCAATAAAACAGAAGTTAACGCCAGCGGGGAGTTAATGAAACGCTCGAGATTGCGAGGGGGTTGGGACGGCTGAGGGGGTGGCCTAGGGTAGCCGTGGAATCGAGTCTCTGCCTCGAAATCGAATTCCGTTAGTTCATGGCTACAATAATCGACCGAGGTTCGCGATAAAACGACTGTGATTGGGCTCCCGTCCACCTTTCGCGCGGTTTGGGACAGCTGCCGGTGTTCTGCCGTTTAATATCAACGAGGAAATTGACCGGGGGGGTCCAGGAGACGTCGAAATGCCCCTGGAGGACTGCCCGGAGGAGCCATTTATTTTTCTGTATCGCGAATGAATACGCCGATGTGGAACCGATACTCCAAAGTCGGATATTTATTAAGGAGAAATCAATTTATATTGGCGATACCTCGAGGGATGATTTAAAAGGAGGATCTATGGCATGTATATAAAAACAGTTTCATTCTTTTTAAATTAAAGACGATTCTACTTTGACCAATGGCTATTTATTTTATTTAAATTATTACCAGTTGTGCCATGAGCTTGTGTCACTTGAACACGTTTGGAACCATTGTCTTTACTTGTTCTTTCCTGTACAATTTAAATACGTAACATTTAAAATTATAAAGGTACCCCCTCCTCTTTTAAAAGAGAAGGTGTGGAGAGCACTTCACGTTTACGTAGTTAGAAAGGCCTTTTAGATCCATGCAATTTAAGACCAAGAACTTTAAAATCGATGGTATAGTATTCGAGATATCGAGCTGTTAAGAATTATGTGGGCCACCTTGTATATGGTCAATCAGATCAAAAGGCTGCGATACACGGTCCACCTTCAAGGGACCATTCCACGTTCAGACCACGATCTCGGATCACAGTCTCCGGGACAAATAAATTGGCCACTCAAGGTCACTGACCGTATACCCCCACCAGACCCCCTGACTCCACCCATCGCCTCTTATCCCGCATCTAAACTTCATTTCCGAGCCAACCGAAGGCACCCTTGCTCTCCCGACCACCCAAAAACGATATCCCAATCTCGCAAACTCATCTTTAACATTCCAGAGAGCACGTCCACTCCGTTAGACCGCTCTCAGCGACAGCTTACGAAGACTCACCTCGACGATGCTGATGCAGATCATAAGGTAGGGCGGTCGTATCCGAAAGTTGGGCTTCCTGGGCGGCAACGGATGCCTGGGAGTCGGTCTGGGCGTGACCTCGTCATCCTTAGTCTTCTTGTAGGAGGACTTGACGATGATCGGCGACTCCGGTGAGTAGGGCGACCCAGGGCCGGAGTACGTCGTGTCCGTGCAATCCGACGAGATGGTCGAGAGGGTCGGAGAGTTCTCCAGGAGTGCAGCCTCGACGTCCATCTTGGCCTACCTACGAAAAAAAAAAGGGCAACGACGGCCTCGTTAGGCTCCAGGATTCGAGTGGACACCAACTGCGCATAATGTTCGCGTTAACGGTCACCCTTCGAGGGCTGCTATTATGAAATAATTCGTTCGTCTCGAGCGCGCTCGCAGTCGCCTGGGAAATTCAACTGTGAGGGAACTCCGAGGCGATTTACTTATCGCGATAATGGAACGTGCTTGTTCCATGGCTTTTCGGAACGGAATATTTATCTTTTAGCGGGGAATTCTTATTGAACACGGACTCGGGGCGATGTTTCCCTTGTGCAGACTTATGGTAACTAGTTTCCTGGTATTTTTCAATTTCTGGATGCACTGCAGGGAACGGGGGAGAATTTTAACCGAGCAGGTACTTTTCGCGTTCCTCGGAGACCTCGGGAAAAGTTGAAAACAGTTTTCGGCGAGATAAGAAATTATAATGGGGGTCATGGGGGATGGAGAGGGATTTGAGGGGTTGGAGTTGTGGCTGGATTTGGACCCGCGGGGCCAGTAGTCGAATATTTCAAGAATGGGGACTCTATTTACCTCCGGAGAATAGGGATAGCTTTTCCTTGGAATTTTTGTGGGTGAAGCGTCTATCTATGGAGTTACCGCAGCTTTCGTTTTCAAGATTTCGAAGGTTGAAACTTTGGACTTTTAGCTTTTCGAATTCGGAGCCTTGGAATTTGGGGTATCCAAAGTTGGGGCTTTGAAACTTCAGCTTTCGAAGGTTGGAGCTTCGGGCCTTGAGCGTTTCAAATTTGGAGCCTTAAACTTTGAGGTATCCAAGGTTGGGGATTTAGACCTTGAGCCTTACAAATTTGGAGCCTTGGACTTTGAAGTATCCAAGGTTGGAGCTACGGACCATCAGCTTTCCAAGGTTGGAGCTCTGGACTTTTACCTTTCTAAGGGTTCAAGCTTTCGAGAGTCAGAGGTCTTCGCCCTCTGTGCATCGAGGCGCGAGCCTTTTTATCTTGCAGGATCAGCAACATCCCCGCAGAGCAGAGAAATATAGGCGGTGTTTCAGTGACTAAATCACGAACCCCCCTCCGGTTCAGTTATCGCGCGAAAGCTCGGCCACGAACGCGACTAATCGCAATTTACGGACACTTTCGTGCCCGGGGATATCCTTTTTCTCGTCGACGCTAAGATTATCGTGAAATACACCCCGGGCTAAAGTCGTGGAGAGAGGTACAAGTGGAAACGTGATCGCCGTCGACGCGACCTCGAGGAAAAGAGATCGAGTCGGTGGAAGAAAAGCACGGTAAAAGAAACGGGAACGTTTCGCGAGCTACGTGAGGCGGAATATTAATTAAACGGTTTTCTTTCGCCCCGAAACGAACGATTAAAAAGAAAGGAAGGGGGCGGCGTCGGTGAACAGTAGCAGTAGAACCGGAATTCATAATTAGCGCGAAGAGCTTTCGCCCGCGCTATTACACGCGTATGGCTCCCTAAACTCACTTTAGCCGCACTTTACTGCCCGCCAACGGGTGGGAATTAATTTGTATGCGGTTTCAAGTACACGGTCCGAGCGCTACACGCGGCCGTTCCTTCTCGAACGGGGCTCGCCTTCGATAAATCCGCGACTTCCTCGCTAAGCCTTCCGCTACAACGCGGTCGAGAGCTTTTTGTAGAAGCAGTAACTGTTCTTTTTTAGTCCATTAACCAGTCGGCTCTGGCGCCCACTTTTCCGTGTGTCGCGAGAGCCAAAGCTACGACAGGTACAGTGGCACACAGAGTAATATTGGGTCGCAAAGATTATACATTGGGTCTTTTCAAAAATTCATGCCACTTCTGCTACTCAAATTAATACGTGAAACATACTCTTAAATAAGCAATGGTAACTAAATTTTACGCATCACGAGTATACTCGTCAATCACAGCTGGATAACCCTTTGCGCTCGGGTGGGGCCTCTAGGGCGACATATGTAATTTAAAAGTGATTTTGTGAACGTACAATGTCAAATTCACTTACATCAGAATACGACTAAGTATTAATTGAAATAATAATGCATCGAGTCACGAACGTTCGTAGATGTTTTTCTTCGAAGTAGAGTTTTTGGTTTCACAGAAATGTATTATAAAAATGGACTGGATTTGATTCTATAGAAAAATGCCTCGAGCGCAAAGGGTTAATATATGCATGAAAAAATCCAACAACCATAGAAGCATATTCTCTCCCTTCCACCGCAAACCTATCCTCAAATCACGCAACTATAGCTTCCAAAACATCCCCTACACCCGCCAAGAATAATTTCTCTGAAACCCTGCGATAAACACGACGTATCACCCTTATCAAAGCCAGCAGTCCAAACAAAGGCAACCCCGTATTAACAGGCCCTCGACCGCGAGAGACTTCGTCGCCGTGGTTTCTCTCGCGAGAGATTTTTCCTGTCTCGTTAGCTCCGACGGACCAACGGCGCCCTTTAATCCAGGACACGTCGAGGTGCATTCATTTGCGCGCGGCACGAAGTACAGGGATGCAGTTGCTCATCCAGCGGTGTCGAGGACGACACGGGCTCGCAAATGGCAGAGACAGCGAAAGGCGGAGGTGGCCCGCCGCGGTGGATGAGCGGCGAAGAGGAGGACGCTTGGGGAAAGGACTTGCACCGAGCAGGACCAAGCGAGAGGAAGAAGTTTCGGTCGGGGTCAATTCAGGCCGACCCCTTTGTCCGTTCCAGCGTCGGTCTTTGTTCGGCCCGTGTTTTCGAGCCACCATAGAATTTGCCTGTGAGTTATCGGGCCACGTTGGGAACGGAGCCTCCGCGAAACCGAGGACATCCACGAAACCAGACCTGCCGCACCGCCCTCGAAGTCCCTCTGGACCGGGACGAATCGATTCCGGGGAGGAATCTCCAAAATGTCGACGTTGGATCTAATGATTCTCGAGAAAAATGTCCCGGAGGGTGAGTGGCAATGTTTCCGGGGGATTGAAAAGTATTTTTTCGAAGGGACTCGCATTTATTTATTTATGGAGTTTAATTCAACTTTCTGCTTGGCGAAAGAGAGTCGGAGAAGTTTAATTTTGTTTAATTGTTTGATTGGGTACGATGGTTGAATTTGATTTAGATCGAGCTTTTGTTTTGTATCATAAAGTATTGGGATGTTCAGAAAGTTCAATTTTTAAGAAAAATTCAAAGGCACGTTTGAATTTTAATATACAATCAGTGTAATAAGTATTCGTATAAGAACCATTTATTTTAAATGGGGTTGCTGTACGAATACTTCTTACACTGACTGTATATTTATTGAATTTACGTGAGTATCGTTTTGTTCCACGACCATTACGACCTTTTCCCCTTTTTAAGGAGATGTATACATGTTATTGGTGACATATTCAGACCTGTACCCCCTACCAAAAATCGGCATTGACTTTCCAGACAATCCCAATATATTTCACGGGGGTTACTTAAGGATTTGCGTTCTGTTACAACCGGCAGATTTATTTCTCAATTTTATCGTACGATTTATCACCGAGTCCAAAGTAAAATATCGTTCATATACAAATAAAAAATAGCCCCAACACCAAGTATAATAATATTAATAACAATCTGACTTCTCATTCCTCAAACTCCCACCTGCTTGAAGCTAGAATCTACGACTCTTCACATCCACAGGGCTCCACGGAGGCTCAAGAAACCAAAACGCAGCCCCGTTTCAACCGATACCTTCCCTCTGAACTACCCCTATCTACGCGAATCTCAGATTCGCGGACAGAGTCAATGGAACGCGTCCGAAAAGTGGTGGCCGTGTATTCGGTTGCAGTTGAAACGCGGCATTCTGGAATGGGGGTGGTGAAGAGGGTGGCCTAAATCAGAGAAAGGGTGTCTGTCCCCGTCGGGAGAATAATAATCCCCCTCTGGCCCGTGGAAATCGATGTCGCAGAGCGTTCGAGGGCCACGAAACGATCATTGGCAGCCACTTGAAACACGCGGGCTCGCGGAAACGGAAACGCACGGTGCACTTTCGACCGCAGGTAAATCAATGTCCTCGCCCCCTCCTCAACCGCACCCCTCACCTTTACGGCGTAAGCGTGCGTTTTCCGCAGACAGCAACGCGAAACCGCGTTTGATGTTCATTATTGTAACGGGCGTTTCGATGATAAACGATCGCGAGCGCTCGAGGATCGTTCTACTACCCTCTCTCTCTCTCCCTCTCTCTCTCTCTCTCTCTCTCTAGTAAATGAATTTCGTGGTGTACGGGGAAAGGGAAAGGGAAACAGGGACACTGGTTGTTCTTTTCTCCAGTTTTAATTGCCAGCGACTTTCATCTCGCCACCCCGCCAAAGCTGGATAAATGGGAAACGAGCTTTTTTAAAATTTACCACTCCTGAATTTTAATCCCTGATTATGACAACGGCCGAGCACGGTTTTTAATATTTATTTTCTCATTTTGCACGGCGCGTGCGTGTGCCGTTTTTTCTTTTTTCGCGTGAAACAACCGTGTGTCGTTTGTATTACGGGGCAGGGACGAAGTTAAAAAGGATATTCCGTGACAAAGGGTATGGAAACGCGAACGCTACCCGTGCATCGACGCTATCGGGAAAATAATCGCGATTGTTTCCCTCTGGTCTCTTTGTCGGGATACACCGGGGCACTTTTAATCGATTGTCGCATTATCAGTGGCGGAGGATTGCTGGCTGTTTATTATTGGCAGGCTGTTATTATCGTTTTCGGAAGAGTGAAATCGAGTGACACTGGATTTCAGGATTATCATTTAGATAGGACTAGCTGCGCCTCGCGATTTCACCCGCATGGAATACTGTTTATTCGCCTATCGGGTCCAGATTTCGCCAAGACTTTCTTTTTGTTTAAATATAAAGGGTCGTTTTTCAATGAAAACCACCACACGAACATATGGCGTGAATACAAGGTGGATAGTTTCAGTCTGACCGTTACGGTTGAATCTCCTTTTACGGTTGAACCGCCTCACCCAAGAAAGGAGGTTCAGCCGTAATGGTCAGACACACATACGCCCCAACGTTTTTATATATTAAAAAGATTGTGACATGATAATCTGGTTATAAGGAAGGGTCGGTGGGTAAAAAATACAGACTAACGCTATTTCTTTATTCTCGAATAACCCACGAACGAGAAAATCCAAGCCTTGGGATCGAGTTCCCTCTAAAACCGACGCAGGGAATCGCCAATCGAAAGACGTGAGATCGACGACACAGTCGACTGCGCGTCATCGAGTGCATCGTGATCATCGGCGCGTGATCTATGCGGGAGCAGCCCGCATTGTTCTTCCCGCAAACCAGGGAGAGGCCTTAATTACGCCGCTCCTCGTATACGCCCGCGTACGTTTGATTTGCGTGGCCGACGGCCAGACGCCCGTTACGTTAATTACGTGCGGACAGGTACACGCTTTTGCTGGACGCGTCAATGCTTCATTAGGCACCGGTACGCCGAACTTTCCTACCCATCGCCTTATCATCGTTCGCCCCCAAACGTCTGCCGATCGAATTTGCCTGTTTTCGTTCATTTTCAGGTCGAACTTTACCTTTAAAGTGATCCATGATATTTTTTGTTTAACTCAAACGGACTCAGTAAGAAATTCTTTGGATCCTTCAGGCCTCTCAGGCTCTAGATTAGGCCTGGATTAGGTCTTTACGCTTTTATTTCGGTGCAGTTTAGAGAAAAAGGATCTCAGGGCAATTCTTAATCTGGGATCAATATTACAGAAACAAGATGGTGATATATTCCGATTGTAAAGCATAAAGTGAGGGATTGTTGAATGAGATCCGATGATGAAGCGACGAATAATGTAGACAAATAGCGTAAATTCTATCAGTCCCAGATGGAAGAAATATATTTGCATACAAAATTTGAACAATTTTTAACATAATTTTCACGCGAAATGTGCATCGCCATTTGTCTCGAGTATCTTGAACTGTCGAGGCAGTGAATTCGACATGGAAAAAAAAAATGATTTGACCTATCGAACGATTCCAGCGATAACGTGTCCAAGCGCGACAGAAAATCGCGGCCCACTCTCGAAACGAACGGGTTCGATACACGGAGTGTCGTCGAACGACGGAACGCAAAAATTAATCGAGACACGGATCATTGAACCGTAAGCTCGATACAAATCGAAACACGTTGAATGGAAATTGCCGAGGCGAGCTTTTTCACCGAACGAACGGTCGTTTATTTAATCGTTTATTCACCCGATCAATTATCGTACGCCGTGATTAATCATTATCGGTGTTATCTCGAGAAATGGGCGACGTTTATGAGGGGGTGGTGTGTGTGTGTGTGCGTGTGTGTGGGTGATTCGAGTTGATGGGTTTTGGACACTGTTTCCCTCCCGCTGCTTTAAATTCCCATCGACAACGACGAATGTCCAGCGAAAAAGTTAACGCAAATTTGTCGCTCAACAAGCGCAATGTAAACGTTTGGGGGATCGCTTTATTTAGGTCGTTTTAGGGGGAATGATTCCGTGAAACGTGTTACGGGAAGAACTTGACACACCGGGGGTTGAAGTGGACATTCATCGATGGGATATTTTTGGTGAAACGAGGCGTGATTTAATACGATACATTTCCAATTTGTATTTTTTCTCGTTTCACTTCGTTCATAGTTTTCCTTGAAATTGTTAGAATCGAGATGAATTCCTTTTAACGGAAAAGTACGATCGAAATTTTCAAAAAATCCGCTTTGAGAAAAATACGTGTATCATATTTTTCGGTCCTTTAAAACATATCAAAAAATCAAAACAATCGGAGGCGAACACCTAACAACCTTTCCTTGTAAAAATCGTCGAAATAAATACGCTAGAAATTTTAGAGAGACGTACCGGAAATGCCAGGCATCCGGAAATTCCTAAATCAAGCAACCCCTAAAACCGCCGCGCCAACTTTCGCCGCGTGTCCGAGCTACTCGCGAATACGTTCAGACATCGTGGTTGCGCAACTCGCGTGCATCACGCTCTTTCCGCGAGGCAAAAGGAGAAAAAAGACACGGAACCGTCGTCCGGTACGGCTGTGGAGGGGAAGGGAAGCTTGGAAATTATTTAGGCGTGTTCGGTTGCAATTTTGATTTGTGGTCGCCGCGCCAACGCGGATCGGGATTTCGGAGTGGCAAGGGCTCGTGACAGAAAGTCGATAGAACGTCGCTGAAAATTAATGAGCCAATCGTGTGTAGCCCCCGTTGGTCGAGCCGCTGGAATAATTAATGGTCGTGCATTTGTACTTCTTGCCATCGGGCGCTCGAGTTGGGCCTTCTTTCGAGGTCGAAAAGTGTCCTTTCACCTTTTTTTCCATCTTAGATTTTATCGTATTTTTAGTGGCTGTAACTTGGTATTCGAAAACTGTTTTGAGTGTATGTTGTATTTTATTTGGTATTAATCAGAGTATTGATTTTTTAATCGACGTCTTGCAAGCAATTTTGAGCTGGGTCTATTTTTTGTTTTGTGTGATTAATTGTTGTAGGAGTGGTTGGGTATTCGAAATGTTATTATCGAGTTATTTATACTACTGATATAAATTTGTTTACTGCTATACCTTTAGATCTTCATGTTTATTGCCTCTAACTCTTCACCGCAGTCGCTGTCCACCAGAAACAAGTAAAATTTTTCAAATAATCTATTTTCCACGCGTCGTTCGCCGAATAAAAAATTTGAATTTCAGGTACAGCGAAACATAAATCACGTTACTGTGAACAATAAAAAAATTTAATTGCTCGGTCGAAAAAGTTTCGATAATAAATCACTACACTGTCGCTTTTTCTCTCCGAATGTTACACAAACAAAATCCTCGAGCAATGAAAGAAAGATGCACCGAGCAATAAAATAAGATTTATTACAGCGACAACTAAAGACTATAATCCCCCACTCGAACTTTGTTCGTCATTAAAATAAAATTCTCAAGTATCTAATGCACAGCACTCTGACCACCATTTATTCCACGAGAATGAAAATTCGAACCGCAAAATAAAATCTATCACACAAAACGATAATCGAACGATGTCCCAAAATTCGCTGAACTTCGTCCCCCTCCACGATCGATAATTCGAACAAAATTTCGCCCGTCTCTGGTTCCCGCAAGTAGACCGTAACGCACACCGGAGTACTGTATCCTTCCACGGTTCTCGCTAAATTCCAACCAGGCCACTGTCCACCGACGAAACTCGCGTCCGAACTGGAGCACCGGTTACGCAAAACGGAAGAGCGCGATCAGCGCGCATCGAAAGACCGAAACGATCCAATACGCGGTGTGACGGTGTGAGAAAATAATTGACAAACCAGGCGGAAAATGAAAAAAAAAAGAAAGAAAGAAAGAAAGAAAAGAAAGAATAAAATCTCAGAGAGTCTGCGTTCGAACGCGACGCATCGAATCGTCGACGGGCGAATGTACTTAGCTTGGAGAGACCAGCTCGCTGGCCGTCGTCTTTGCATTAATTATGTAACCGGCGACTCAAGGCTGCCGTGTGGAAACTGGCGAGTCGTTCGCCGTTCGCGCGATCAATCGGCCCACGATCTGGAATTTCAAACTTGACCCGACCGCGCAGCAATCGACTGACCGTTCCGCGAAACTCGTTAAAAGGAAATTAAACGGGCAGATGAAAACACCGCGGTCCTCCGAGTCCCTTTTCAATTTCGTCTGCCGCCGGGGGAGTTTTTTCTTTTCGGAGTCAATTTCGGTTTTGGATGGGTCGCGGGGTCGGTCGTGTTTCGGTGTTTCAGGACTTCTTTATTTGTTTATTAATGTACGGTGCGTTAACGAGGGAGTTCGAATTTGGACGGATACTGTGGAGATCTATTTGCTTTCTAAATGTGTGCGTTCTTTATCTGTTTATTAATGTACGCGTGCATTAACGAGGGAGTTCGATCTTGAATTTGGACGGATACTGTAAAGATCTATGTACTTTCTAAATGTGTGCGTTCTTTATTTGTTTATCGATGTGTTGGTGTAGTAACGAGATCGTTTAGGCTTGAATCTAGCGTTTTGAGACAGATACTGCAGTTTCAAATGAGTTGTCTCCTAAAAGGTTTATTTGAAATTGTGTCAGGCACGGAAGTCAACTCAGCACCGAATCGAGAAGTCTTGAAAAAGTATGTATAATCACTGCCCCATGTGAATGGCACAAGAAGAGTTTTTTTTTATTTTTCTATTATTAAAATTTATATCTTTGTTAATGCGACCGGTGTAAATTCTTTATTCCTTGATTGTTCTTAACACGCAGGAACCTGTGTTTTTTGATTTTTCAAAAAGTAATACTCAAAAATGGATATTCCACTTTCCGTGCACCGTTAATGAGCCGGTTTAGAAAGGATCGGAAATTCTGTTTACGCGTAATTGCGATGCACGTTAGAGGGACCCAGGGAAAGTAATTTCGCGCGACAGAATGTAGGAAAGGATCGAGTTACGATGGGAAGGCAGGGTTTCGAGTAGCCGAGGCAATAAAATGCTGGCTTAACCGCGGAACACTCTGCTGTTATTATTCCCTTTTCATCGTAGACCGAATAGCCTCGAAGTTGACAAACAAACAAATTGCGATAAATTCCTTCTAAATTTAATGAAAGGGTAACACCGCTTTGGAAGCTGAAAAGAAGGTCTAACTTTGATCATTAATTTCGAGAGTATCGCAAAAGGAATAGGATTTCTTTTTACAGAGTTTATTCGACACCCGTTGAAGAATGAAGAGAAATTGTTGTAGCATAATTTTAGTAGAAAATAGCAGCGACAGATCGAGTCATCAAAATTGACTTTTTTTTTTCGAGGACGGTTTTCTCGTTGTGTATAAAATCTAGAACAAACACTATTGGCTATAAAACGTACGTAGCGGTTTTTTTTATTTAACGTGAACCTTCTCGTTTTTATTAGCAATTTGATAACTTTACTTGTTGGCCAAAAACTGGTTCAGTGCGCTGTTTCTACAATATTTGATTAAAAGAAAAGAAACCTACGTACGAGAATCGAGAGAGAAACGAGAGAAACGAGAATCTTCGGTTCGCATTGGATTTATTAGGATTCTCTCGCATCGTTGATTCAAAGGAATCTATCGTCGGATTCGGTGTAGGTAGCAGACGGCACGATTCTCTTTGATCGAGCCAAAGATCCTTCCTGGTAGAATAAATAATCCGACCCACGAATCGCGAAGAACTGACACCGCTCGAGTGGTATCGTTAACGACGTCAGATTCGAGTTCTTTGTTGTTTCGTACAGATACACCTTTGTGCCACGCGAAGACATTAGCTTCGGAATTGTATAGCGCCGCGTAGAATCTATTTTCTCGACGACTGGGATGATCGATGGTCGTATTCATCCGTCGCGACTTCTGGAACCAAGTGATTTTCTTTACAAACCCCCTCAGACGTTCTGTTTAAATTGGCGACGATTCAAATACGCTCGGAGAGAGTCTAACGCGATAGGTTCGCGTCGAAGATGGAAAACTTTTGAACGGAAAGATCCTAGCTCGAGGTTGTCAGACCGCGAATGGAATTGTACAACCTGATAACGTCGGTTAAAGTACACGTAACTAGAAATTAGATACTCTTGAATGGCAACGTACGTCTAACAGCGTTGATTATGCGAAGATCCTTGAAAGCCACGTACGCGTTGCTTTTCATTACCGTGGACCTCGAAGCGTGATTATTACTAGCTAGAAATCATATTCGCGAGATAATTTATCGCCTTTGTGGTGACAGACGGGAGAATAACAGAGACCTTTTTTTCTGGTATCTACCAGCAACTCGAGATGTTTCTTAGCATTCTATCGCCATGAATTCTAAGCTATCTAGATTTGAGAGTAAGGTCATCTTTACCTCACCGAGAATCATTTTATTAGCACTTCGAGCTCCAAAGAAATTAAACCCAAAGAAACATTAGGTATTTTAGATTTGCTGCGTGAAGGCTCGGTGCCGTCACAGCCTTGAAGAACCTCAGGTAATTTATGCGACCGCGTTCGCGAGCCTCAGAATCTCCGGTATAATACGGAAACAGATATGAAGATTTAGATAAGAACGTAGAATTTTTACTCGGAGGACCGAATGGATTATTTATTTCTCAATTACAAAAATTACTCGATACACAGAAGCAGATCTGTGAAAATTGAAATAAGCGGAAAATCGTTAAAGCAGCGATTAGGAAGAAACGAGTATTTTACTTTCCTCGACAAGAAGAGTTTCTACGTTCGTTCCGGAACGGAATTCACCGAGAAATGTTCTAATAAGAACCTGCGATCAGGATCGAAACACCTAAGCACCTACGTTTCATTAGATATCCTCGAGAGATTCATTTTAACGATGATTACCGACGGCTTCGTTACAAGCTGTCGACAACACGGAACCTTTTTCCGAATTTTCCGCCCGTGGAAACTTACAAGAACACGGTTCGATCGTTTAATTGGAAAACGTCCAGGGCGCGTTTGTAACCGAACGAAAACACGCGTGTCGACAGGAAAACTTCCCCGGCGTTTACAGAACCCGTTTGCCCCGTTGTTTTTTCAGCTTTCGCCGAAGCTGGCAAATATTTGACACGGTACATAATTGAACTGTTTCTTGTTCGTGATACTGGCGCAAGTCCTAAATTCCATAGCTTCGAGATTTTTTTTTTAAGACCGTTTAGAAGTCGAGACTCTCGTTTCGGGTTCGATTCTTCTTTTTTTTTTTACCCGTGAAAATATGAATTTCGCGCAAGTATTCGCAGAATATTAACGGTTCGCCGACCGGTAGCCCATTAATCGTCTCTTTTCCATGGCAAGCGAAACTTTCACAATTTTTAACGAGATAGTACGATCCCATTGTATGCTCCCACTGTTATGGGAATGATGAAATGTTACGTAAATATAATTCGTAAAATTATATATTCCAATGGATAAAATAAATTTCGTATCACGCTCTTGTATTATGAAACTAAACAATAGTATTAAATTTAAGTACATATACAGTCGGTGTAAGAACTATTCGTACAGTAACCAATTTAAAATAAAATGAATAAGAAAAGGAATAAGAGGTTAACATGAAAAGTACGTGGGAATGTTGGTTAATTATTTCTTCCCTTGAAATTAATTAATAAAATAAATATATGAAATTAAAAGAAATTGGAGTGCGCAAGAAACTACAAAATGCAAACAATATGCAAGAATATAAAAAAGATTGAAAGTAAAGTTCATGTTATAATGTTTGCAGAATAAAATAAATTCCTATCTAGGTTCAATTTTTGTAGCGTACTTGTTACACTGACTGTATGTCCGAACGCTACCGGTCATTAAAGTGCTAATGAGACGTGAGTAGCGTAGAGGTTGTTATTTTACATGATAATATAGAGAATTAATATAAAATGTAGAACTACTTTGTGTGAATCCTCAGGGGCTGTAGTTACGTTTGATTAGAGCTATAGGACCCCAACAGACTTCTAATTACTTCGCTAATAAACCACGTAAACAAATACAAATGCGAAGTAACGTAAAGCAAGAACCAAATGAATGTAAAGTACCACAGAAAACAACCTCATAAATAATCCTCGGTCGCTCTGATTTATATAAACATAGCAAAGTTGGACAACTTCGATTTGAATACAATTTATACAAGTACAATAAGAAATAAAATGCAATAATTCGCGACAAGAATAAGAGAAGCAAGAGCCGACACGCTCGCCCAGAAGAAAATTCAATTAACATTCGATTCTGTTCTTCCTTCAATATTCCACGAGAGAAAAGCTTTCTTTCGAACAATGTCGGACCGTTCGAGCAGCCCTGTAGCTCCAGCCTCTTGCCTTATCAGCGAATATTCAGCGAGGGGGAAGGGGAGGGAGAGTCAACGCGCGTGCGAATCGCGATTGCGCGGGATTAGAGCGACATTGCGTTTATTAAATCATTCCGAGCCGATTGGCGGGCAAAAACGCTCACGGTTTCTTACAACGAAACATTGTTTCGTCAAAGCAAGCGAGAGGCTTAATGAATATTTCAAAGCCGCGGGCTGAAATGCCCCCCCCCCCCTTCCGCATTTCATGCGGCGACGATTCCTCTCGAGCGCGACTTCGCCTCGTTCTTTGTTGAATTGTTCACCCGGTTTTTAATAAATCATCGTCGCGATTTGTTAGAGTGGAGCCTTTGGTTATGCGGATTTAATTGTCCCCATCGGACGGAATTGTTTTTCGAGGTTTCAAAGCCCACGGGTTTCGCGTTCCGTGAAACTTTCGTGCAATTAGATCGCAATCTTTTGGAAACTCGTGGAGTTATTTGTAATCGGGCCGGTATCGTTTGCCGGTGATTTGTTTAACGCGTTACGTACGTATGGAATTAATTCTGAAAGTGATGTGGGTGATGCGAATACTTTTCATGAATAACAATCTCCAAGGAATCTTCTCAATTTTGTTATCTTTATTTTTGAATCTCGGATCAACGCTACCTTAACTAAGAAAATATTTTCGAGATAATCTTCTTCTAATCTTCGAGATATAAATGAGCGTTCTGCAGAAGCAACAGATTTCGATTTCCCTCGAATTCCTCAAAATTAATTAATTAAAAGAGACTTTGGAAAAGATCGCAATCTAATTGCACGGTAGTTTCGCGCGGTTTATTAAGCCCCGAGAAGACTTTATTTTATAGCACTGTGACTCCGCCAGCACTCTCGGTAAGGGAAACAGAAATATTGCCACGATTAGCCTCCAGGTCTGTCCATACACAGCCCCTTAAATCATCAAGCAGCTCCAATTGTACCGAGCTTTCCCCAGTCTATTTTCTGGCTCGACTCCGTTCGATTCGTCATTTTTACCGGTTTTCCTCCCTGCTTGCGAGAAATGTGCTCGTTATCGAGGAACACGTTGTGCCAATTACGCTCCCGAGAAACCGGAGCTTCGGGACGATGTTTCCCCAAGTTCCATCTGCCGAACTTACTTATACGCTTCGAGGATTGGAAAATTCTGGTATAGTCTATATTTAAAGAACGGGGATAAGGGGAATGCGGGAAATGTATTTTAGACAGTATTTTTGAGGAGTTGAAATGGTAGAAGTATAGAGAAAATGAATGATTAGAATAGAACAAATCTGAGGCAATGAGAATCACAAACCCTCGTTGTCGCAGACACTGAGAATCACAGATGCTTACTAGAGTCTTAGGCAATGAGAATCACAAACTCTTACTATCTGAGGCACTGAGAATCACAAACTCTCGTAATCTCAGACACTGAGAATCACAAATTCTCACAATCTCAGACACTGAGAATCACAAATACTAACAATCTCAAGCAATGAGAATCACAAATTCTCACAATCTCAGACACTGAGTATCACAAACTCTCACAATCTCAGCCAATGAGAATCACAAACATCTCACAATCTCAGACACTGAGTATCACAAACTCTCACAGTCCCAGACACAGAAAATCAC